GGAATCTTAAGTGCAGCAGAAATTTTTTTGTAACCTTGGCCAGATCTGTGCCTTGCCACAATTCTGTCTGTGAGCTCTTCAGGCAGTTCCTTTGACCTCATGATTCTCATTTGCTCTGACATGCAGTGTGAGCTGTAGGGTCTTATATAGACAGGTGTGTGGCTTTACTAATAACGTCACATCAGTATAATCAAACACAGCTGGACTCAAATGAAGGTGTAGAACCATCTCAGGGATGATCAGAAGAAATGGACAGCACCTAAGTTAAATATATGAGTGTCACAGCAAAGGGTCTGAATACTTATGACCATGTGATATTTCAGTTTTTCTTTTTTAATAAATCTGCAAAAATGTCAAAAAGTCTGTGTTTTTCTGTCAATACAGGGTGCTGTGTGTACATTAATGAGGAAAAAAATGAACTTAAATGATTTTAGCATATGGCTGCAATATAACAAAGAGTGAAAAATTTAAGGGGGTCTGAATACTTTCCGTACCCACTGTATATACACTATATTGTATTTGCACTGTAGTTCATTCCATCTCCAGATTACTGTCTGCATTTGATGACCTGCAGACCATTCTGTTCAATTTAAAGCTTTTTCTGACCTCTATTCACATAATGTCACATTTCACAAGAGCACATATCTATGATCTGTGTACTATATTGGCACAGTTCAGCCTAATAACATCTTGGTTAAAAGTAAAAAAAAAAAAACTCAGGAAGGAACAAAGACATGCATGATAGCTCTGTTAGTAGTTTTAGCAAAATTTAACAGGTGATATTTAATCACAGTTGTCATTGTGTGAAGTGTTAACTAATAAAATGAATCTTATGTCTGTGACAGTTGGGCCTTAAACTTTTATATTTTTACTGTACGCAGTTGCTGGTAAGGACCAAAGTCTTGTAGTCTCTGTGTTTAAGAGAGAAGTCAAACTCTGACTGGCTGATAAATGGAAAATCATATCCTCCAGTAAGGCAGTAATGCTGAAGTGTTGTCATCAAGCAGTCTGGATAGGTCAACTACATATTTTAATAATCTGATAGGATCTCAGTGACAATTGGCAGATGTGCTGTGTGTTGTGTTAATAATTTTGACTTTGTCAGGATATTAGGAATCAAGGGAAAAAAAGAAGCTTTTGTGAATGAACTTTCCACTATTTCAACATTTTAATGAAGGGTGATTGGGAAAAAAAGAAGCTTTTGTGAATGAACAATTTCAACATTTTAATGAAGGGTGATTAATGCGTTTATATCATAAGTGATCAGACAGCACAGACAAACAGGAAGTGAGGGGAGAGAGAGATGTGAAATAACTTTCAACTAACAAACGTCCCCACCCTGACTTGAACTGAGAATGGTACGATATAATGATCAGCACTTTAAAACCTTGGTCCACCAGGGCACCTCCTACTGTACATATATGAGTTAAGACAGAGAAATTTAATAGGTGTAATGTAATGGCTATGTGTTAAATGGAAGCTGGTTTTTCACTTCATAACGACATCATGATGGTGCACTTGTGAAGTGACATATTTAGTTTGTTTGTACCTGTTCAGTGATGGCACCAAAGAGTAATACATCCCTCTGCCCTAGGATTTGGCATATGCCCGGTGACAAAACAGTGAAGTGTGGTGAGTCTGGCTGAGCAGAGCTAGTAGAGATGGGAGCAAACACCAGCCAGATCAGTGACCTGCCCAATAACCCCAGCCTGAAGGCTCTGGTGGGGACCGAGTCCATATCAGAGAATGACCCTTTCTGGAACCAGCTCATCTCTTTCACCTTCATCAGCCCCACAAGCAGGTAAACACATGGGAAAGTTCTTTCAGATATATGTGAGATTATTGCCAAACTGTTGTAGTACAATGCTCTCATCCTTTTGATTGACATAGAATTGAAGAGCAATTAGCAATGCTCAGGCTCACATTTCATGTTGCTCAGCTTATTTCAGTTAATTGATATAAGTAAATAAGTGATTACATGGTTGACTGAAACTGTTGAATCCTACTAATAGTCATAAGTCAAATTACCAAATGTTTCTCAGTTGCAGTTTAAAAGGTGCACAAATGTTGCTGGCTTTTCTTTTTAGCCAAACTATTTCCAAGGTCAGGAACCTTCTTCCCTAATTCCTTGATTATTTTCCTTGATTATCACCTGATTGACCATGTATAATTCACATACCTTTTTAAAAGAATATGCTTTTTTTTTCATACCAAGTATTAGATGAGAAGAACTATGTCCCTGGCATTGCTTTATGGTAGCTGATGTTATGCTAGCTAATGTGTAGCTGAAAACAGAGGGGGAAAACATCTAACCTGGCTCTGCCAAAAGGTAACAAAATCCATCTAACAGCACTTGTAAAGTTCACTTATAAAGACATTATATCTTGGTTGTTCAATTCTTACACAAAACAAATCAACAAATCATATTTTATTAGGCTTTATGGGCAAAGCGCTTTCTTGTCCAGGAGCCAGATAACCAGCGGTGGGGTCCAGCAAGTTACTGGTCTCATTAAAAAAATAATCTAGTGCATAACTGCTTGGGAAATGGTGATTTAACACTAACATTTATCAATATAAATATGAATGAGTGAGTGTGCTAGATGTATCTAGGTGTGTTTTGTTATTGCTGGACAGAGCCATGTGGTTGTTTCCCGCCTTTTCTGGTCTCTGTGCTACACAGCTGAAAGTAGCTACATATTTTCCATACAGACATAAGAGTTGCATCAATGCTGGCATCTGACTGTTAGCGAGAAAATGAATATATGTACTTCCTAAAATATCAAACTGTTCTTTTAAAGGTCTTCATGTGGCCCTGCTGGTCTGGCCATTTTTGGCTTGCTGAAACTAATAACAAAGGGTTTGCACCAGTGAACATAGTAATGCACTAAGAGCAGAATGATGTGTTGTACTGTCAAAGACTAATGAGACTCACCTGCAACATAACTGCACACAAGCATGACATGACAGCTGTCCACCATAAAAAACAAATTCCACACTAAACTCAAATGATATAGCATTAGTTATTATAAACCATGAATATCTCCAGCTTACCGAATGAAACAGTAAATGTATTATTTAAAAAAAGACCTGGAGTGCAGCCTAACATGTCCTGTCCTGTACATCCCATTTAGATTTTTATAGGAATCTGTATGATGTTTTATTTTTGTCCCTGCAAACAATTTGAATGTGTTATTGTGTGAATATACTACAGTTTTGTAGCATGACAGCAGAGGGCAGGCAGTACAAGAATTTAAGCAAACTCCTCTGATCCGTTTTCACTTGCATATCTTTTTAGTATGTACTGTGTTTCTCACTACTGCTCCTTGTTTTTTTTCTTTCAAACAGTGGAGAGACTAAGTTGCTGGAAGTGGCTGTCATCCCCCTTGCTAAGAACCTCAGTATGTTGGATGTAAAATTAATATGTTGTGTGTGTGTGATTTATACCTTAATGGAGTTGTCCCAGTGAATACTAACTTCTCTGGAGTTTAAAATGTCAACATTGCTTTCTTCTGGTTGTTTTGATGCCAAACTATGACATTGGGAGGTTTTTATAGATTGTGTAATGCTGTCAATATCTTCTTTCTTCTACTTTTTTAAAAACTTTTTTCTTCTTTTTTTTTTTTTTTTACAAGTTGAAAACAATCCAAGGACAGGAAACTTTGGTGCTCTTGTGAAAATTTTCCTGGGAAGAACCAAAGAGCTGAAAATCTCTACAGAATGCCAAGAGTGAGTATGGGAACCTCGGAGGAGAGACTGAACTCAGATGACTGCGTTGGGAATGACAGACCCTGTGTGATCCAGTTATTATTTGATCACAGGCGCACAGGGAATTCCTATTTTTCTTAAGCAAAGAAACACTTGAAGTGGTTGTAGTTTCCAATGAGAACCTCTGAGGTATAACCATCAACAGATGTAGTATTATTCTCCCCTTGCTGCCAAACTTCATTTTCACAGAGACTGACCCTGCCCAGATCACAAATGTTTCTAATAGGAACTCTTCATTCTGTATTAAACATCACTAAGGGTTGGAGTTATTGTTCACCTTCCACTCTTAGAAATTTTACCCATGTTTCACAACAGGTTTTGTCCCAGAAACAAACTAGTATCTTCTGGGTGTAGCACACTTGCCACTGAGGACTTAGACACCCTCAGGTTGTTTAGTTTTTGTGAAACATTGTGCCTTACACCTAGTTTTGTTTCTGTCCTTTGCACCATTTTCTGGATTGTCAGAATGAAGCTCATATTGCAACTGTGAGAAAAACCTTTGAGTTTTGCAAGGGAAAACAAGTACACCCTTACCTGAAGTGATGTGTTTGTTATTGCTGTATTTTTGCAAGAGTTGAAGAGGTGATACTGTATACTGCATCTTAAGTTGTCTTTAAAGTTAGGGGTAACCAATCAGGTAGAGACATAAGATGCCCCAGCGGGTCTGTGCTCTGACCCTCATTCAGAGTGTGCTCCACTGGTTATGAGGTGATATCCTCATGCTTTTTAATTGCCATGAGAAAAATAACTTCTTTCTTGTTCCTTTTCCTGGAGGTCAGATCTCTGAGTCAGCTACAAAACACTACTCTTAGAGCAGTTAGGATCCAGTTTCATTATGCAAAATGCGTAAGCCATTATCCCAGCCTCTCCTTACTAAAGAATACTGAGCAACTCTTGGTAATGAAAATGTGTAATAGTTTACATATAAAACAACATATGGCCAACCAATCTTTCCTTTGTAAATAAATGACAGACCAGCAGCACGTAGTCAGCTTTGTTTACCCAGCAGAATGCCCCTTCATAACCTTTGTTTGACAGTAACAGTTAGAATGTGTAGTGTTAGTGAATGTTTAGTGTTGGACTTTGAATGTGATGCTCTTGGTTTGGTTCTCTTCCGCAGTCAGCTGTTTATCTGGCAGGCCCACAACGCACTGTTCATGATTCGCTGCCTGCTCAAGGTGTTCATCAGGGAGATGAGTGAAGAGGAGTTGCACCTACAGTTCTCCTACCACGAGAGGGCACCAGGCTCCTGTGGAGGTGAGCTCCATCACAGTTTGATTTGTGAAAGGAAGGCTGTATCACTGGGAGACTGAAATGGGGCCACACATTGCATGAAAGCAACGGCTTCAGAGGTTTCAGCCAATTCTGATTGAATACCTCATACCATATGGAAGGACTAACAGCTGTGTTGTCTTTAAGTCAGTTTGAGCATTGTTGCACTTGAATGTGCTTTACATAAACTCCACAACATTTGCTGAGAGAAGGACAACATCCTTGAAGTGTTTGTCTCACCGTAGACTCATAAGCTGAGACTTATCACAATATAGTTACTAGGGTCACATGAGTAACACTTTTTTAATGAGCAGAAATGCCACTGGCTACTGAGCTGGATGTGTTATCTCTGAGAAATCTGGTAAAACAAGTATGAGTCTTCTAACACCACATGATTTTTAGCCTCTAGCACCAACTCTATCTGAGCCAAGTCCCTATGTAAATAATAACTTTGATAAATGTTAATAAAATAACACCAACAGACGCAATAAGCATCAAATGAAAGTGACATTTTTCACGTTATCCTTTAGTTTTATCATTTTGTTGTGGCTGTTTGTTGGTGTTGTTCCTTTTTACCAGTATTCACTTGCTCATGTGAACTGTGACATTTTCACAAAGAAACACACTCCCTCACTTGCAACTCTCTACCAGACATCAGATCTGCTGTGTTGGATGATTGTTATAACACACATGCAGTTTGAAAGTGCTAAAGAGAAAATAAACCAAGTTATTTGCAAGTCTTGATGCATTTTAATCCCAGTCCCTGTTTCTCTCAGTGCTCTTCCTTTGTCTAGTGAGCATGAAATAGGGACCATAAAGAGAGGCATTGGTGCAGTGGGAGCTGAGAGCAGGCTATGACCAACAGGGAGTTGCCATATATGTCTCATATAAAAACTCCTTCTACCCCTTGTGTTGAAACAGGGAGCGAAGACCTTCTCGAGGAGCTGTTATCCAACCTTGTTCACCTGATCATTGAAGTGCCCCTGCTGTAAGTATCTCATTTGTTTGTGTATATATTCTACATGTCAGGTGAAGGCTGGATTAAGCCCCCTGTGTTTTGTATACACTAATGCCCTTTTCAGGCATGCACTGGCACCCTGAAATTATCTAGACATTACCCAGTGGAGCTGTATGTGAGAACGCAAATGTCCGAGTCAGTCAACCCAGACCTTAAGCAGACTTTACTCTGCCAGTTCCCTAGTACAAAGTCTGTGTAATGTACAACTGAGCTGGAGTGAGCCCATGTGAGAATACAGCAGTCCAGAGTATTCACATGAAGCTATTGCGCATGAAGAACACAAACATCTGATGGTGAAGAAAAACAGTCATTTACAATGAAGACACCAACAAAAACATCTAACTGGAGACAATGAAATTCAGGAACATCTGTCTTTAAGAGCCGGTGCCAGAATTGTCAGACAAATTTAAGATATGGCAAGAGACTCAGTTGTTTATGACCAAATTATAAACTGGATACCTGACCACCCACGCCATGTCCTACCTCCTGTTGGCTCTACCCAGGCACACTTCCCCTCGCATAAACCAACTGGAGTATTTCTGACACAGACCATCTCCTGTTGTGTGCTACATGTGTGAAAAGGCAGCTGTGGACAAAATCTGGGCCTGGTTCATGTGTGAAAACGGATTAAGATGGTCAGATATGCCAGACTGATTACCACACTGTAAAAAGACTTATTACAATCACTTTATCCACACAGTAATTTTTTTTTGTTGTTTTTGTTTGATTTTGATGGCACTTTTTCAGAATCACCTGTTTGACATTATGTCATCAACATAATCACATTAAAATATCAAAGTGACGTGACTTGCGTGCAGTTGTTCAGTCATGTTCATCTTTTAGTTTGTGTTCATGTTTATTCATTGTTAATGTGTCTCGGATGTTAGTCACTGAACCTTTAATGAAAAGCAGTTTGTGAAAAGTTTGTATGTCGTGTAACTTTATTTGCGTGCTCAGCTTGCTCATTCCCTCCTTGAGTCACTAACTGAGAGAAGAAGAAATCCATTTTGTAACATGCCAGACATCACATGTTGCAGCGCTGAGCTGGCAACATGATGAGCAATAGGACAACATAAAAGAAAGGGATATGACTAAATGAAATAGAGAGAGAAAGTGTTGGTTGCTAAGTGGAAGAGAAAATACTTGAAATGAAAGTTGGATTAGGAGTGTTGCCAATGAGTGGGAGAGGAGAGAACATACAGCAATAACTGAAAAATGGTATCAGGCTTTACTCTCAGTGGGCGGTGTGCGCACTCACTCTGCTTTAATGAGGAAATATTTCATTGTGTTCACTTATCAATGGGAGATGCATTATGTACGTCTCTGTAAAGAAAATCTCTGCAGGCTCACAGAAACATGACTGACTTTTGCTATTCCTTTCACTTTTCCTTTGTCTGTATTGTCATTCTTGATGGTTGGCTCCCGCTGTCTCCCTACTTTTTCTCTTTCCTTATTCCTCCCTGCTTCTCTTCTGTTGGCTCTGGCTTTCAGCATTCCAACATTATTCACTATCCCGGGCACTTTGAAGACTTTTTGTTTTTCTTCATTCCACCACTTTGTGGCTATCGGACGATTTTCTGTGTACATGCTCCTGGGAATCTTGTGATCCTTTTTGTATATTTCCCCCAGATCGCTAGTAGACTTCTCCACCTTTTGTGGTTTAATAAAAAAAAAAAAAAAAGTTGTCAGTAGTTGTTATATAATTTTTCTAGGTAAGCACTTAAAGCATATTGATACTGAAAAGTAAGTCCATTTTTGTTACACATCTTGTGAAATACTGTATCTCTAATAAATTTAAATATATATATTGCCTATGGTTAGATTCAATAACATAGATTTAGTTACAAAGCTAAGCCTATTGTGAAGACCTTGCTGCTATGCGATGTCTTTTTTTCCAAAATACACTGAAATATTTTGTAAACTAAAACACTTGATTTCTTGGCAGTTGTTTGGGATGTGTCTTTTTGTGAACATTTTACCTTATGATTATACAGTTTTATAAACCTTGAAATATACTGGTTATTGATAAAATAAAGTTAAGATGAAACCTTTAGTATGTAATGTTTTTCAAACATTTGTGCTGTAGAAATCCGCTCCACAACTTGTCTTAATGTGGAGCGGTTCCTTCAAAGCCTCCTCTGACCCAGACTCACTGAACTGCACTGGCAGGGCAGTGGAGGGATATTAGCTTCTAGAAGGTTTTGAGCAGGACTGACCTCTCTAATCAATCAGAGATTTTCAATTATTTCTGTTTGATCAATAGGTTGTCTCGCATTCTCATTTATTGTATTTCACAATGACAAATATCTGAAGAACCGGACAGCGCGGTGGAGCGTAGCAGGTCGTAGTAGAGCTCAGTGAAGCAGGCAGAGGGAGCGCTGGCCAGAGCAGAGTGGGTTGAACTGGAGCATAATGCTACCCTACGTTAAGTTGCATACTGTAGCTTTAATGGTAAAGACATCGGTTTTTCATTTATTTCCTGTGCTTAGTTGTGTCTTTTGCCACTGGTTGGTTTTGTAAGTTTGTAGGTAAAGAACTGAAGTGATTAGTCAGTTGATTAGTCATTTGAAAAATTAACCTGCAACAATTATGATGGAGTATTTTGTCTTAAAACATGTCTAAAGGGGATCAGTTTAACAAATATGCATCATTGAAAAGATATCTTTATGTAGTGCTGCCACTTTATTGTGAACCATATAATTTTAAAAACCCCTTTTATATAATATGTTAGTGTACACAGTATTGCAAGTGAGATTCAGTGTATCACATCTGCAAAGAACCTGCTTGATGGTTATTTAGAATGAGAGCATACTGTATATGCTGCTGTTAGAAAACAGGCATCTTTTTCCTTGATTGTCACCTGATTGTCCATCTATAACACGCATATCTAAACACTGCCTTAATATACATAAATATTTAGATGTGAAGATGATGTACTGTATTACAAGTCACGCATCTGTCTCTCCCTTTAGCGACATCACCTATAGCATCCTGTTTGAAGCGGTCACAACACTGCTGGTATTCTTCTCCTATCAGCTCTTCCGCAAAGACATCCTCCGAGATGGAATAATCTACCAGCACATTATGAAGGGGAGAAGGTGAGGAAACACACACAAGTTCATACTCTGCACTCCCCAATACATGGCTAGCTTTTAACCCGTAACCAAAATATTAACTCTAATCTTAAACCGAAAACCTAATTTGCACAAAGATCACAGTGAAGGAATAATTAAACATTTAATAAAATTTCTGTTGCTGTTCGAGCTTCTTTCACATGTCCCAGTAACTGGGTCATCTACAATCTGTTCACAGCTTTCTTGAACACAGGCCCAGATCCTTTTGGACCCTCTCCAGTCCAATGTGACACTGTCTGATCCAGCCTACTGTTCCTCTGGACAGACTTTGATACAGTTAGCCTCTCTCGTTCCAAACTGTGTATTCATGTCATTCAGTTGATACTTGTTTCTCCACTGTTCCCTCATGGTTCTGAGGGAAACTGAATGAGTGAGTCTGGTTTTTAAATAACTATACACTTCAAAATGCAAAAAGTAAAAGCTGGTAAGATAAGATTATTCACTAAATGCATATAAAAGTAAAAGCTAAATGTTGTTAACTGTGTGATGTTGATCTGTACATTTGAAATGGTTTGAACCCAATTTAACTTGGTTTATTGTTATCTTGAATATGAGTAAATGTAGATAAATGCTGTAACACTGAATGCATATTGAAGTCTAGTAGTGCAGTGGAGAGGTGGGCAGCGGATGGAAGTAATTTTCTTTTAGGGCTTTCACAGCCTGAGAGCCAAATGAGAGCACTTTGGATTAATTGCCACTAAGCTGAAGAAAGGCTTTCAAGTAGCTGATGTTGGCAAAACAGATTAGAAGGCTATCTAAAGTGATTTTGCCATTTGGTCTGTCAAGAAAGCAAGATTGTGTGAGACTAGCAAAACAATAATATGGGATATTGTGTGCAACCAGTTGCCTAATATGGACACCTGATTGGGAACATGATCATTGTCTGACTGGGTGCACACATGCATGAATGAGTCCTATGTCTGCTTTTTATATATTTTTACATTTCTTGGCTATTCAGCCATGTTTCTCACTGTATTTGTTTCTGCTCATCTTTTCCCCAGTATGTCTTTAACCAGTCGACTGGTGAAGACCCTGCTCTATAACTTCATCAGGCAGGAAAAGTGTCCACCTCCAGCAACCCACATCTTTGAGCCAAAATCTGAGGGTGGCCTGCTTTATGGCTTTGCATCAGGGGTGGCAAGTACGAGTACACACATCTATATACAAAGAAATAAGGTAGAAGATTCATTATTTCACCAAAAGACAGATGGATAAATCATTCTTAATTATGTTGTGAACTCTTACTGGACCACACGTGGATCAACCCTTTAGCACTTTGTTCTATTCATGTCGCCACAACCTGTGTATCACCATTAAGCTGGTGAATAATAATGTTGTCATAGATGATGTGATCAATGGTCTAATTACAAAAATAAGAGCCATGCTGTAAAACAGGGAATTGAATTTATTTTCCTTTGTTCCTCTGAGCCAGAATGAGAAATGTGCTTAATCTGAGAAATGAAAGTAGTAGCCATGTTGATAACCATGACAGGGTAGATGAAAGTGATGAGTCAAAAAAGAGCAAACTGTGTGTGTATTTGACTGGTAATGTGCTGTGTGTGTGTGTGTGTGTGCACGTGTGCTGATTGGTTTTTTGTTTGAGTGAGTGTGAGAATCGGGCTGGGTTTCCCTGCAGATAAGTGCTCTTTGTCAGTTGTTGGTTGCAGATTCCTATCAGTGAGCCATCAGCATTCAACCCAGTCTGTCTGTCTGTGGTCAGTGATCAGCCTGATGAGTTATGGTGCCCTGTTCTGTTTTTTAAATCCCCTAGAGCCTGTCTGTCTGCAGCCGCCTCCCTTATACACACACGCACAGACCCAGAAAGACACAAGCTCTCTTATACTCGGCTCAGAAACGACGCTTGTTTTCTTTCTTTGTCTCTCTGTCTCACACTGTCATTGGGACTGACAGAATACATAAAGAAGTGCATTTCATTTGCCAAAATGGGTGTATGCATAGATGCCACTCTACATTAATTGTAAATATGGAGTGAATTTCTTGAGCTTTGTAGCAAAAGCAAATTTTCTGCCAGTTAACTGCACCAGTTTTTCACATGAAGGCCAGTTTATTGATCATATTTTGTACCATTGTGTACAGTAAAAGCAGCTGAACAGTATCTCTGATGGCTACAAAACAGTTTTGTCTGGTCAGGTCTGAGAAATATCCCTTATGATGCCTTCCTGGTTGTCTCAAGACCCAGCAGTTTTTTTTTATAAATATAAAAATATATTTTTGCTTAATTGTACTAAATGTTTGAATATCTCAGCTGTCTTCTCCATTCTGTCGTTTGAGTCTCCTAACTTTATGAAAGAAATTCAGTCCTAAATCACTGGAATGCCCCTTTAAAGGAGCATACCGGTGGTTTTGCCTGTTTTAGCTATTTACTAGGAATCACTTAGAAACCATTAGGCATCTGTTGGTTTCCATTCATTTCTGTTCAACATGAAAAATATTAAATTATGAAACATGCATGACTTGTGTATTCTGTCTCAGTGTACATAGAACGTGCAGAATTTCCCCTTGTGGATTAATAAAGTATTAATATTATTATAAATTAAAGGGCATGTGGTACAGACCTAAACTTGCATTTCTCTACAGCAACAATTTTACCTTAGGAGAATTTATCCATAGTTGATGGTTCTGTGATGGATTTATTCACTAAGTTTGAATGAATTAAAACTAATGGCTTGCACTGCATGTTTTGTAAAATCTACACATTGCAGACTAGACAGGACTCCACTTGACATTTCCCATTTTATTGAGAAATGACTGGTCCTCATGTTAGTAGCATGTAAAATCACTCATGCCCACACGCTCACATTCATAGATGGACTATGTTTTTCCCAGAACCAAGCACTGGTCTTTGGCAAAGCAAAGCACTGCTCAATAAATGTTGCCTTTTCAATGTTCAGTGAGATAAGAAGTCTCTTCCTGTCTTGCTTTTACATTCTTCTGTCTGAGTCTGAGCAAACATCAGCAAGAGGATTATCACAGAGACGGACAACTCGGTACGCTTTCCTCTCTTCTACTCTACTAAGTTATTTAATTACAATTCATCCTTAGTAGGCATGCATGTCTGCAGCTAATTTCATGGTAATCTTTCCTGTGGTTGTGGAGACATTTCATTCAAAGCCACAAATGTCAACCTCGTGGTGGCGTATTCATACAACAGTTTCTAAGACATTTTAGTGTGGATCAATGTGGTGGAAAACTTAACGCTGTGTCCCTGGAGCAATACTGCTAGCATGGCTAAAACTATTTTGCAATAGAGACAGTTTTGTGCCTCTATCAAACACATAGCTAGCTGTAACATATACAGTACTGGCTGATCCACCTGCCTACAAGCAGATTCACAAAAAGATAATCCCTGTGCAGTCCTCATGTAGAGGCATCTCTCTGCTCTTACAGTCAACAGGCAGACGTCCCAGTCTACACTATTGATAATCAACTGGTGACAGCACCTCTATCACAGATACCATATTATGTCTACATGCATGTATATTAGGTCATTATCAGTATAGCCTACTTATAAAAATGGTGAAGGATTTATTTTAGGGATCATTTTTTATTATATTTATAATAACTGTTACTAAATCAGTCTAATTCAGTGGAATGTTCTTAATGTTGTATATATGTATATAATATAGAGAGAGACAGAATATACATATATGTGTGTGTGTGTGTGTGTATTCATATACATACACATATATATGTATTTGTGTTAGAAGGGTTTTGGATTGAGTTTGGATAAAAGTGTTTTGAGCATATTTTTAAATTTATGTGAAATTATTAGAAGCGTGTGTTTGTTTATTGTTTGTACTGCATGTTTCCCCATGTGCATTTGCAGATAATCAGCACAAGTATGGTGTGTGTGTGTGTGTATTTGTGTGCTTGGCCAAGACATTGGCCTGAAGCCCTGACGTCATATTTCGTCGATATTTCATTTGTTTTGCAAGTAAATAAGAAGCACATTCTGTCTCTGTTCACCAGACGTCCATTTCTCTGTCTGCACTGAAGTAGATGTTCTCATATAAAGAATAATTTCCCAATTTCCTTCTTTAGTGTCTCCACAGATCACTGAGTGAATGATGAATGATGCAGGTGTATATTGTTTTTAGCCATCCTACCAGCATGGCTCTATGAATGCCAGTGCTGGTCTGTTAGCATACCATTTTGGTCTATTATAAAATATCTTAACTGTTGAATGGATTGTTATGAAATTTTGTACAGATTCAGATTCATGATGCAAAGAGGATGAACCCTGACTGGTGGTAGCTGGACTAGTGATACCAGCAGGTCACAGTTGTTACTTATCCTTACATCTGCCCTGGTTTAGCACAATCGTTTGCACTGACATTAATGGTTCTCAGGTGATGTTTGCTAATGGTTTTGGTTGCTCCTAAATTCATCTCTGGGGTCACCATGATTGTGGCTTGAATACAATGTCTTAACAGCTATTGGTTGGATTCCCATTATATTAGGTTTTTGCAGTGGTTTCTCTCCCAGAATGAATTGTAATAAGGTTTTCAATGGCTTAACTTCTATAGTGCCAAGTTAGGTCAGATTTTCACTTTGTCTAGTACTTTGTTTTATACTGTATCTAAAGACTTGCAGAACTGATGGCATTTCTATCAGCCTCAATTGTACTTGGTCTTTAGTGCTCGTTTCCAAGTGTTGGCATGCTACACAGTCTGCTCTCAGTGGTACCACTGAGTGCATCACTAGAAGCTATATGCCCATGATGTGAATTCAGTTTTGTTAAAGGGTCAGAGGGCAATGGATTTACGAGAGAGGTCTGCATAATGTTTTGGTTTGAATATAGAAATGGACTTTGTGCCAGCTATAATGTCTGTGATGGTGGTGGCTATGATGTTAGGACAGCCTTCTGTCCTAAAACCAGGGCTTGGTTTTCGTCTGAACACTGTTGCAGAAATGTGTAATGTGGTCTGTTTTATAAGCCTGTCAAAATGTGTAGGTCATAGAAAGGTTTTCAGAGAAGAAAAGATCAACTTCATATGTAGGGCTTTATGGGTGTTTCACAGTAGGATGCTTTCACTGCCCCCGAGTTCTGAAGCTCAGATTTGGATTTCAGCATGCCAACTTCTGTGTCCGTGTCTGACCTTTGCTTTTCCTCGTTTTCTCCTTTCCTCTCCTCCTATTTATGTGCTCCTCTTTTTCCACTGAATGGCTGGCCAGGGCCTAAGCAGTGTACTGTAGCATTATTAGGTTTTACAGTATGTGGTGAGCAAGCAAACAGGCAGAGGGAACCAAGCCAGACAGATAACAAACAGCACCCACTAAGGTAAAATAGAGCTCTGTAAGTCCATGTGTGAAACTCTATGATATAAGAATGAAGGAAATGGGACTGCCAGACCAGGCTCACTGACACTGCCAGGCTAGTCGCTGTGGTGCCAGTGATGAGTTGAACAGGGCTCTGTCACAGCTTGGCCCTCTCTTTCTGTAGATCTTGTTTTCTCTCGCACTCACTTCTTTCTGGCCAGCAGAAGGAAAGAATTGGGTTGAGAGAGATAGAGATAGAGAATGACCAGTGCAAATTATGTCATTTTGTTCTTGGGATTTTCTTTTCATTTTGAAGGGAGTTTGTTGATTTCCTCTCACTCAAGTATAAACAGATTCCATCTTGTCTTCACTAGAACTGCATACACATTTATACACAAAAAAGTCAAACTGAGAGGCGGAATTACTCTTCACTAGCCAATTGTAAATTTAGAGGCACACCAACATATAAACCATGGATGCTATTAAGATTTTAAACAGTCACGAGGTGTCCAAACAAAGCTTTTGGGCAGAGCAAGGAGGAAAAGTAGCCTATATATAAAGCGTTTCTCTTGTCGTGCATAATGGTTTCAGATACAGCAGAAGTTACTGGTACAACTTGTCCAACTTTCATGGTGTACAAACGCAGGGAAACAAAATGGAAAGCAAAAAAGTCTGGCAATGCTTGCAGTGGTCCAAGCAACTTTAATGTAAAAATAACAGACCAATGCATTTCTTTTTGCTTTCTATGCATAATGGTTTCAAACTTTATTTGGTTTCACCCTCACAGGGTCTTCATCATTCACAAGTTGTTGCTTGTTGTCTCCTTCCTTTCCCAAAGCCACAAGGGAAAGACGCTAGGATATGACCTCCCACTTTCTCCTTGAGTTAATTTTTTATTTTAGTAGTAGGTCTGTGTACATGAAGCATGTCGTGTTCTATAGTCTTTTAGACTGTGTCCTTGTTTGATTGACCTAAAGCTTTTCTGGCTCACTAACCAAGTAAACAAGTGATGTTACTGTGTCAGAGCTTGATGGATTATGGTGATTTTTATGACACCAAGAAGAATATGTGATTCAGCCACAGAATGTTAGTCTGGTTTTCCAGCCTTTGCCTCTAGATGGCAACAAGTCTACTTGGTTCCCCCTCAAAGTCGGCAGCTTGGTCACTGGGGCCCTACAGCGCACACTCACTGCCTCTCACTACATTTTGGTTCATGTATTCTGTGTGGCTAGACGTGCAGGAGCCAGAGACTGTCATCTGTGTACCTTGGTGTTCATGCTTCACATGCTTCACATGACACCTGAAAGCACCAGCACTTCATTTGCTCTGTAGGAAATTCAGCTTTCTCTCATCCACCAGCAAGAAAAATGAAACCCCACTCCAGTCAACCAGCAGTTCCAGTTTTTCTTTGTTCTGTGGTGCCGTCGATGTTGTTTTAATTTTAGGAGCTATTCTATTGTGCATTTTCATCTTGATTTCATCAGCCTGACTCCACACACTCATTTGCCTTCTTTTCCCTGTGCAGTACAAATCTTCTACAACATAAGGCTGAAGAGCTGCAAGTTATGACAATACTTTGATGCTTTCTATAAAAAAGCTGACATGAACAACTTGACTGCACTGATCTCTTGTGCTAAAATGGGCTTCTACTGTTTTCAGGCTAGTCTTGACACTGTGTGCTGAAATCCTACATAAAGTACACCAGGAGAGGTGTGTTAGCATTAAATATTTTCTGACACCAAGCTAAAAATTTAATTGAATAAAAAATCTCAGTAAAACCAAATCAATTCTTTGCATCCAACACACTCAAACTGACCAGAATGAGGCCAAATACAGCCCCCCCCCCCCTGTAACTCTTCAGAAATAAAATGCTGTAATAAATAAGTAAATAATGGGTAGAAACAAAATGGTGATTAAATGTATGTTTTCATCAGTTTAACCTGTGTTTTTCTGTCGGTCTCCAGGTGGTCTCTGGAGTGTCTTCACATTGGGTGGAGCTGGCAGCAAAGCCGGGATAGATCAGGAACACAACCCCTTACCTTTGTCTAATCAGAGCCTTCTGTTACTGCTGGTGCTGGCCAATCTGACAGATGGGCCTGACTGGCCCAACCCATACCGCCAGGCTATTACTTGTTTCAGAAACACACAAGGTAATAATTGCACAAAAGATATTTCCTTGATTTTAATCCATTGTACACATTTGAGACAGCCGTTCATTTGTAATAGATGTAACATAAGATGAAGTAATGTAATAAAATAATGACAATATTTACCTCTGTTCATGTAGACACATCATCATTGCCTGTGGAGCAGCCTCATACCTTTCAGATCAATTTCAATAGTCTGTACACAGCGCTGTGTGAGCAGCAGTGCTCTGACCAGGCCACACTACTATTGTATACCCTGCTTCACCAGAACACCAACATGAGGACATACATGCTCTCCAGAACTGATATGGACAATCTGGTGAGTAGGATGGGAATTAAACACTTCAGTATTGTTGTTAATTCACAGAGGATGGTGCACAAATCCATGCACATTCGTCCTTCCTTCCTATCTAGGGTAGAGAATTCTATTAAGAATCCCAAGTATGATTTGAATAATCCCCGACAAAACACATTATTCACTTCCTATTTACATACACATAGATAAAGCCCTGAAATCATGTTATCCAGGTCAAATGCTATGGTTTAATTAACAGTGAGGGTGTATGCAGTTGCAGCTGGTGCTATTCTGTCCATGTGGGACTGCACCAGTTATTTCTTAAACCAGACTGAATGTACTGAGGCATCTAGTGAATGACAATCAGTCTTTAGCTCAGCATGTTCGATGGTATCATGAGTATGAAAGACAGTCAAAAAATAATTTGGTCTTACTGGATAGGAAGTTAAAGTAATTTATGTTTAGTCTTTGTATCAGGTTTACCAACTGCAAATTCATAACATGAGCCAAACCTGCAGGAAATGACCTTAATTCACAATCATTCTTTGAAATCTTAGGTCTGCTAAATTCCTTTACATCTGATATCAGGAGGACCTCTGTGTTATTCAATATTTATGGCTGCTAAGATGCTAGCATGGGGGCTCATCTGTTGCAAGATTTATGTTCACATTTTCATCCACTGATGCTTGTGCAAGTTATCTGATCATGTGGATTGATTCCACCACATCCAGGCTTTGCTTGCAAACTGCCAGAACATCCATAAAGTCCGACAGCCCGTAGTCATAAGTACTAAAATTAGGAAGAAAATATCAGTGGCTAATTACTAATAATTACGAGTGGGATAAGGTAACAAGAAATGTAACTGCCAGTGGTTCATAGGACTGTGGCCCACAACCATCTGTTGATACTCCAATATACACCCACTAGTCAATAAGGATGTATTGAATGCAGTTTGAGGCAGCACCTACACACATGATCAGCCCTTCTTCCTTCTCCTCCACTCTTCCTCTCAGGTGATGCCCATCCTCGAGATCCTTTACCACGTGGAGGAAAGAAATTCTCACCATGTCTACATGGCCCTCATCATTCTCCTTATCCTTACAGAGGATGATGCCTTCAATCGCTCCATTCACGAGGTGGTGGGTAGTCACAGTTTAACACACATTGTTAACATTTCCGGCATTGCCATTGCAACCCTCCGGTAACTGCAATTGCTGGGATAAATCTAAATCCATTCTCTTTTCTGTTTGAGTCCCATTAATGTCTCTCCCCCTGTTTTTCCAGATATTGAAGAACGTCTCATGGTACACAGAGAGGTCATTGACAGAGATCTCACTTGGCAGTTTGCTCATCCTTGTAGTCATCCGCACCATTCAGTTCAACATGACCCGGACAAGGGTAAGATGAACACACACACACTCGCAAAGATAATGGGCAAGCAAAAGTTCATTAGCTGCAGGAATATACTGTACACAACATCAAACTAGTGTGCAGATTAATAGTAACATCATTGTTGTCTGTCTGTGTGTGTGCAGGATAAATACCTCCACACCAACTGTCTGGCTGCACTTGCCAACATGTCAGCCCAGTTTCGATGTCTTCACCAGTATGCTGCCCAGCGCATCATCAGGTAAGAATAGAACAAAGGATGATAGGTTAATTGGTAGCTCCTCTCTTCTCTCTATTCATTTTATTGTCAGCCTATTTCAGCTTTTATATTATTCAAATTATTATTATAATTCTAATTATTGTATTAAACGTGACCTAAAACAGCATGTAAATTGTCAAATACTAGGGTCAGGTTTGTGTTTATTATAGACTCGACATTCAAATGTGTTATCGTAAGCACTTTCAATTGGAAAGGGGCCTTTATATTTTGGCAGACTCTGTATCCTCTGACTAGGCAATGGGTGACAAATAAAACCCTCATTGTATATAGTTTTGTATTACGGTATCAATACTTGTATCATTATCCTTATCCTTATTATCGTTACCCTTATAAAGTGAGAAATTGTTCACCAGAAGGTAATGTCTTATTTTTGTAATTCCAGTTAAGTAAATTCCTTACATATGAAAATGCTTTACTACATTGATGCAAACCAGTACAAAAATACAGTATTACCATAAAACAGTCCAGCTTATTAACCTGCAGCATTTCCCACAATCACCTCATACACTTTGTTAATGTTAAAAAGTAACTACCACAGTATAAAGTGTATAGCAGTATCCGATAGTAGACAACTTCATTTTGTGTTAGTGCGTATACCATCACTACCGACTGTAAACTGTTCTGAATGAGCCTCTCTTCTGGCAGACAGTGTGCACCCTGATGAATGCCTGATGGCTAAAAACGTTTGGTGATTAAACTTTGATATTTTGGAGAAGAGTCGAGTGACGTGTTCTGATGTTGATATATTGACTTTAAACGGCTCTGCACCTCGATGTGTGTGCATTCTCAAAAAGAAACAGAAGACAGTTTGAATGAAACAAACGATGTGTGTATTCCAGAATTCCAAGCTTAAAAAAGTCAGTAATCAATAAATAGAAAAAGGAGGCACGCCATCAAAGCAGTCAGTGTTTCATGTTTCAGACAGACGCCTTCCTCAGAGCATAAATCTGAATAAAAGCTGCTCAAACCAGAGCTATTGCATGGGAAGCAACTTTTCATCTTTATTGTTTCTTTGTGTAAGCGGTGGCCTAATGAGATTTTAATAAAAACATCTGTGTGAAACAAGCAAAGAAGCCAAAGGAAAGACAAAAACTGCCTAAAGACACGGGTGGAAACTCTAAAGTACACACTCATTCATTTTGATGATTCATGATGAATCAGTGCATAATATCTATTGTTATAGTAACTTGACAGTGGCTGCTACAGGGGAGACTAAGAAATGTAATATCGAACATTGTAGAACATTATGCAACATGAGGGAATGGTGGAAAAGGGTTTAGCCCATGAGAAGATGAGACATCAGGTCATTCATGTCTGTCTGTTAACTCCAGGCACACGGGAAGGAATGTTTCCTTCCCCAAATACATGCACATATTCATTCATCCTCAAGGATCCTCTTATCTCCCTGCCTGTGTCTCTCTCCATATCTGTGACTTGCTGGTGTTTTGAGTCAGAGAGGAACACTGTCTGTGAATGTCTACATGTCTGTTCTGTATAGATGTAGAGCAACTGACTCCATGTCTGATGATGATGACCCAACTGGCTGCAAGATAAAGGGAGTTTCCTGCCAGGAATTTCCAAATGCCAGACAGGCACCACTGAACTCTGCTCTTTAATTGACTCTGAATCACAGCTGGTGCTGTTTATTTACAGGCAGGAGTGAGATTTGCCCCCACCACCACCCAGCATCTTTCCTTATCTTTTCTATTCATCCTTTATCTCCATCATTACCCCCCTTTGACTGCATTGTTCCTCCATCTCTTGCTTCTGCCATCCATATCCACAGTGTCCTTCACCACCACATATGTTCATTTGCTAATATTCATTCTCTAATTACTCTGACATCTGCAACCTTGACAGAGCTTGCAACTACTCATTATTTTCAGTTAATCTATATTTTTCTTTTTCAGTTAATAAATGACTTGCTCTTGAATTGTGTTCTAAAAATATCTGTCTGGCCAACATTCCAGACACCAAAATATGCAGCTTACTCATACAAGCCTCAGAATTAATTTTATCCTACACATGCAAATGTCCAGATACAGATTTAGAAGAAACGCACACAATCACACACAGCGTGTGTCCCAGATACCACAGAATCCTTTGGACTGGCAGAGACAGAGCACCTTGGCATCTTCAGTGTTTCAGGGTGGATTATGTCTGTCATAACGTCAGACCTATAACTAATTTCAGGATCTGGCCAGTGGTGTGGAAATTCTTTATTGTTGATGTTTCTTGGGCCGTGTCCATCACTGCTTCAGCATAAATGAGGGATGTGACAGAGCGACTGGTCACAGCACATTACTGTGGGCAGCGGGCCCAGGTAGAACTTCCACGGTGCTCTCTCATTTGACTAGATTGTACATCAGGGCCTATAAGTTTGTCATGGTTAATACCACCTTAACATTCAGTCTGTAGATAACAAGTGACCCCCCCTTGTAGGTGCTCAGATATTTCCATTTAGCTATCGTTTGGACGGTTAGCCTGGATAAAGAATGCTGAGAGATTTTGTGTTATGTAGTGCTGACGGAAGGGCAGGTGTTGCTCTTAGGGACTTATCTGAGCTCTGTTTGTGCATCAGTGCTTCCCTAGACCTTTGCTGTCATTGAATTTAATTTATTTATACTGAAATTTACATTCCTTGATGAGCACATTAAGTCTTTAGCACACTTGAAGGCCCTGGGAGAGTATTAAAATTTGTAATTAAAACAGAAGGTTACCAGTAACACTTTGTAATAAATATGATGACCAGAAGAAGAAAAAAAAAATGTTTTAATACAATAAATATATTGGAACAAATTTTTAAAATGTTTTTTTTTTTATTTAAAAACAGCACAGATGGTACAGCAAGTCAATTAACAAGCAGGTCAAATGGCACCTTCATCACTTACAATGGGTCAAATACTGAAGGGAAAAAAGGCCAAAATCAGTTATGATTGTAAAGTGATGATAAATTAAGTACAATTTAGAATGTTTGATGCATGATATCTAAATATATACCCTGCTATTTTAAGGGTTATTTTGTTATTCCAGGATTCATTATTACCCATTCATATTCACTGTCTCTTATAATAAATAGTCTGTCTTAAATAAAGGCTTCTCTCTTCAGTTAAGCTGAGTAAAGACCACCATTAGAGTATTTAAAGCACATTAATTACTGGTCAACATGTGCTGTATGATGGCTCTGTATTTGGGTTATTTTGTCTTCACAGAACTGTATCATTCATCTGTCATTGCTGCTGTCACTCATTTTTCCGTGCTCTGTGTCTCTTCTGCAGTTTATTTGCTTTGCTTTCCAAAAAGCACAACAAGGTTTTGGAGCAGGCAACACAGAGTCTGAGGGGCAGACAGGGAGAAGACACAGTTTTACCTGACTACGTGAGTAGCACAAACACAGTCTTCCATAAAGTAAATAAAAGGCAAACGATCCCTTTTTAAATTTTATTTCATTCTGGTTAGTTGTCAAAATGACACTGACTCTTTTACCCTAACATTTTATAATGCTTTGAAACACAAATTGTCATCACATTTAAATTCAAAGCTGTAACTAAATGCTTTAGTACAGACCAGGACCAGTGGAGACCAGCCTCAGAAGTAATTTGATTTTGGCTGAAAGAAGTCGAAGGTCAAGGTCATAAAAAAAAAAAAAAAAAATCAGAAAAATCTTTAAAATGGGGCAAAATTAAAAAAAACAAACATCTCCATTAAAAGTTATCAAACTCATTTGAAATTTGACACACGTATGTAGGGTGGCAATGTCTATCACCAGACCAAATTTCATCTGGATATGATCTGAATTCCAGATCTGACGGCCATTCAAACTGAACATTGAAAACCCCATTTAACACATATTTTGTGCTGTAACTCGACCTATAATGAAGTTGTAACCCTGAAATGTTCAGGTAAGATGCACAGTATAACTGCCCGTCATACCCTAAAAGACGATCCGGATCTGATCCAGATCAAGGACTTTGGAACACATTTTGTGTTGTTCTGTATCTGATTTTTCACAAGGGAGTGAATGTTGTGACTTGATGGGGGTACATGCGCACTCTTTGACTGCTTTTGTTTGAAATTACTATGATAGTACAGTAAGCAAAAAAATCTGCATCCTGTGCTACAGCACTTGATTTGATATACTTAAAGCATTTTTCCATCAAATGTTTTTTTTATGTCTCTCTTTGGTGCAAAAGACTGAGATGACTCCATGTTTTAGTACAGGCGGCAGTTATGTGAAACAGTTTGGGAAGCAGGTCACAGTTTAATGTTACTATTTTTTCAGTGGATGGAAAATATCAAATCTAAGGCCTGCTGTTGCAATCCCACTGCTGAATAGCAGTCTGCAATTCTGTTTATGAAATTTAATGTTAAAGTCACTTATTCACAGCAACAACAAAGATTGAAATTCTGAAACATCAATATTATCTGTAATATAAAAAAGTCTAAAATTGAAATCTTAAAAGCACCACAGCAGCAACTAAGTAGTGGAGCTTTAATCGATTAAATTAATTATGATGTCACCCCAATGCAGTCTGCTTTCTATGGATTTTACTGGCAGCCACACCTAATGAATGTTCACACTTTGTCGACTTCATATAATTGTTGGCTTTATACTTGGTCACCTCTGCCTTCAGGTTTGTATGTCTGCCCGACTGTCTCATTAGATTTCCATAGTCGTACATAAGTGTGTTTGTGCTTAGGGGTTTAAGGTGTATTAAGAAGTCCCCTTAGGTGTGTCGGGGAAACATGAATGCATTTGAGTGCTCATTGGTAGCGACTATCTGAGCCCCTAAGCACACATATATACACACCCATAAAAAAAGATGAAGTGCAGTTATCTTGCTGTGTCGTGTCTTGAGGCTTTCTTCGTTCAGAGCTTATTTTAATGCAGTTTTATTTATTATTTATTTATTTATCCACATGCATAAATGTACACTATACAGTTTGACTGAAAAACAGAAAAGAGGGGCAGGGAGAGAGATCACTCGCCATGACTAAATCTTTTCTGTTGAAGATATCTGTCCAGCACTTCCACTTGGAGAGTACATTTGGAGTCGATATGATAGTAATTTTAATAAGGCAAATGCATATGCAAAGTGTATGTTTGCCTACATAACAGCACTCCTGCTTGACAGACAGACGGTGTGTTGCTCAAGGGCACTCGGCAGATTTCAAGTATGATTATTTCATGGGAATTTTACAATGAGAGCGTTTTCTTAGAATCATGTCTGACATCCAGTCTGGGTCATAGAAGTTGAAGACAGAGCTGGTCAGCTTTCCTGATAATGCGGTTATCCTTGAGCTTAGACTATACTAACTCAGTGTGACATTGGTTCCCATGTCTTCAAGGGTTCCTGTGTCTACTATCCACACCCAGAAGTCAACTTGTGGCCTTATTGATATCCCTTGATGAAAAGGAACAAACTGTATTGTTTGCCTTCTGAGCACGTGCTGGCATGAGGCATGCTCACACAGGAGTGCAGAATCAGCTTTTCTCATGTCTTTAGTAGTAAACATCTTGTTCTTAGACATGGTTTTGAATCTTGGATAAGGCCTGTAGTGCTGCACCATTCAGAGGGAAGGGAGCTTTTTAGTCTGGCCTCAGTTCTTGCTTTTAATCATTTGTTAAACACACTGATTGTGACTGATTGTCACATACAGTGACTGTATGTAACAGCCACTTGAACAGTGACTTTATGGATGGTGATGTCAGTCACAGTCAGTCCACCACCTTGGTCAAAACTGAAATATCTTGGTAACTACTGGATAGTTTACCAGGAATTTTGGTGCACACATTCATGTCTACCTCAGCATGAGTTGTAATAGTTGGGCACAAAATGTTTTTCCATCTATATGAAAAGTTTCTTCATTTTTAATGATGGAATAAGATTGTAGATGAAAAATAAACTAGCCTCAATGTTGAATACAACAGCAAATGCAAACATTAGTTGAGTAGCCATATATTTCTTCCCTCTGCCATCAGTATGAATTTTAAAACTCAAATTTACTTAACACTTCATGCATAGCATTTCTTATCTGGCTGGTTATGGCCTCGCACACTGACTAAGGTGTGTTTTCCTAGCGGTGGATGTGGCCGGGGGGCGGCATCTGGAAACAATGTAATTTGGCCGAGTCTGGCTCTGCAGAGAGAACTAATGTTTGTTTAATGTGGGTTTATCCAAGACGTGTAATTGCTCTCCTTATGAGGGAAAGACTGAGAGGAGGATATGAAAAAAACATCATCAAATGCTCTAAGCACTGGGTTAAAGCTGGGTCCCTTCTGCTTATATGTTAGCATCTTTCTCTTTGTCTCCTCCTGTTTCCCTCCCTCTTTTCCTTTTTATGTTTGCCTCTTGCTCTCTCACACACTCCTTATCCCTGAATGTGTTTGTGCTGCTGGTCTGGTTAGTCTCAGGGAAGAAAGAGTGAAGGGTTAGGGTCCCTTGAGCCCCCAGGGGACTGCCAGAGGCTCCCAGTTTAACCAAGGCAGCTGTCAGGGGGGCTCATGGCTGCTCTCTGCTGCCTCTGCACCTCTTATTGCTGTTTTTTTTTTCTTGCCCTTTGAGATATGCGCAGTGTCATGCAGTATGCTTCTGTACACACAAACTATTATGCAAAGAAGGAAGTATGTGCTGTGTTGTGTTGTGTGCCGCTGTTTATGCTCCCAGCCAATGGTAGTGGTAATGTTACTTCTCTGCCTCTTAAATCTGTTTACTGTTGCACATTTCTGGGAAGAGACTTGAAGCACGCACACACACGCAGAGCCAGAAACATGTTGGACCACCCTGTCTATGTGTTTATGTGTATTGGTTGACTCACAGTCTGTGATCCCCTTTTAATAGCCAGACTAGAGACATCCATTAACTTTGTAGCACTCTTGTTTAGGGGGAAAGCAGAGCCTGAGGTTCTATCTACAGATAATAAACATTATGGCTTCTGTTTGTTTTCAGGGCTTCCAGGAATTTACCACTTTTTGTATTAAACTACAAAACTGTTTTGTCAAATTCACAGCTTTCCTACAGTAGGGCTTAGATGACACTATATTGGCTGATATTAGCTTATTGCAGAAATACGTATCAGCATTGTGTACATGTTGGCTGATCAGTAACTAGAAACTGCAGTATAGTAATGCCAGACTAGGTTCAAGGTTGTTTAGAAGCACTGACAAGGTAATTTTCACACTTTGAAATGTCCCTTTAATGAAGAGTCTTGGTCCTAATCAGAGTAAAAAGTATGATTTTTTTTTTATTTTATTTTTTTGTTTATATGATTTGTTTTTAAAAATTACATTGGATATATCATCAGATTTTTTTTTAAAAACGCCAAAACATCAAAATTCAAAATCAAGTCTAGCCATTGTTGATATACTGAAGATTGGTGTACTGTACATTATCATATGACTCTTGAAATGTGGCACAGAGCTTCTGTTATTTCATTTGAAAATGCCCAGGAAGGACATTAAAGGGCATCTATACATTTTACCTTAAATGATTGCTTAGCTTTTAAACTTTTAATGTATTTTTTTGTAGTTAAACATTTTGACTCGTGGTTCATGGTGTATTAGTACATTGGAATCAAAGACAAATTATTATTTGCTTTTTACCCATTAAAAATACCTTGTTGTTTCCAAGGCTGTGTCCAAACATACATTAGCCTATCATGAAAAAATACAGCTCCCTCATTCAATTGAATGGGAGCGAACCATCGGCGCAGTGGGGGTGCCAAACCAGGAGGCTACAGCAAAATGTTTGCTTTTTGATCCGGTAGCTGTAAAACATGTATTGGCGCACACTGTTTGGCTGTGTTTACCAATCATAAATATGCAAGAGCACATTCATGGCAAATTGTTTTGTAATGCAAACTACACATGTCTGCTGTTTACCTCAGAATTGCTGCCATGATAACTTTCCAGACTAGCAAAATACTTAGTCAGAAACCACTGTTCAGAACTGTGGTGTTTCTCTTCAAACATATTAATCTGTTAATTAAACTGCACTTCTTGAATCCTACTTTATTGTTTAACAGTACCTGACGTAGTGTGCCCTTATCAGTGCTGCTCCTTCTAACACAGGGTTGTTTTTATTTGAACTTTGTTGTTAGTAACAAGCCATGGTTTTCACCTGAATTAAATTATAGCCGCCACTGTCATGGGTGGACTTTATAAAATTTAAGACGATAAAATGTGTAAAAACAAAAAAAGAATATAAAATCTAAGATGAGTTCAAGCTTTACAAATTATAATTAACCTCTTTTGTAATTATGCCACTTTTTATGTGGTTCATTATCTCATCCTCTCTGCCTCATTAAGGCAGCATCCTACTGAGAACTGAGGATGACTTGCACACTGACCCCAGCCCCCCACGTTCTTCTGTTCTCTT